TATTCTTCTTTTATTAAAGAAAATATTAATTTTAAGTATTTTTTAAATAAAATTATTTTTCTTTATAAAATTGTCTAAATCCTCTTTCATCAAGAACATCAACTATTTCATTTAATGAATAATTTGAAATGTCTAATTCTTCAATAACATCACCAGCAATATTATAAAATTTCATAATATCTTTTTTTTGTTGATTTATCATGAAAATTATCATTGGACTAATTATTAAATTTTACTTTAGTTATGAATTAATTTTAACAAACTAATTTTTTACTTCTTCTTCTAAAAACATTGAAACACCTTCTCCTCGAGTACACATTATTCTTGTCTCAATAGATGTTTTAAAATATTTTGAAGAATCAAAACTAAGGCATAATGAGACAAGGAGAAGAAATATTATCATGTCTATTTCCTTTTATTTTTTTAGTTTTAATATTTCGTTATTTTTTAAGATTCAATCTAATCATAAATAATCGTTTTAGATAACAATAAATAATTAAATCTTAAATAATTTTTGAATCTCAACACCACATTCAGCACAATAATTACATCCCATTTCTTCTTTCCAAATTTTAAAGCAAGCTGAACACATAATATGACCACATTCTAGAGAGTATAGAGTTGAAGTTTGTAACCTACATATAGAACAAGCTCTTTTATTTTGAACATTTACACTTTGAGTTTTTTGTTGAGTAATTTTTTTAACACAACATGGATTCAGTTGATTTGTAATGATAGGTGTTGGAGTTGTCTTAGGTAAAATAGTAGGTATTAGTTGATTATTTATTTTTTTGAATATAAAAAAATTTGTGCTTTTATTTTTCATACTTATTGGTTGAATTAATGACTTTTCTATCAATAAATAGTTCATTAACTTTTTTGTTTTAAAAGTCAAAAAAAGATGAATAAACAAAAACTATAATAAGAATTACCAATTCAAATGCAAAGCATTTTCTTGAGCACTTTCTTTTCTATCAATAAAAGTAAGTTTAATAGTGTCTTTTATTGATTCATAAATACTTTTATTCTTTTCATCAACAACTTTTGGTTCAAGAATTTCCATCATTTTTTTAACTCGTTCATCTTTTTCTTTAGGAGAACATTTTATTTGTCCACCACCACAAATACAACCACCAGGACATGCTTCTACTTCAATAAATTGTAATTTAGTCTTTGACTTAACAAATCGAACAACATTTTGAATATTTCTAAATCCATTAGCAATAGCAATACCATCATTTTCAAGGAAATCTTTATTTCTTGTTACTTTAAATGGTTCTTTTTTTTGTTCCATTAAAGCAATATATTGTGCTGGAGAAGAAATAAAACCTTTCATTCTTGTTGAAGTAATTTCATTAATTGGTTCATTCCAATCAACAATTGAATCTATTTCACTTGTTGTTAATACACAATCAATAACATGAATATTGTTATAAGTTTTTGTTGCTTCTAATTTTTTATCAAAACACATTTGAATACTTACATGGTATATTTCTGAATTTTGTTTTTTCATAATCATACCTGCAATTGTCATTGATGATGCAACTTTAGACATATATTCAAACATCCATTTCCCTTGCATTTTTTCCGAATAACAAACCCATCCAGGACAAGTACTTGTTAATAAAACTTTATTCATTTTTTGATATTCTTTAAATTCATCATAAATACCAAATAATGATATGTCTTGTCTACTACTAAATATATTTTCTTTATGTTTTTTTTTTAATATCCATTTATTCTAAACAACAAACGCTTGAGACAAATCTCTTAATTCATCAACACCTTCTTTTTTTAATGCCTTTTCTACTCTTGTCCATACAACATTAAATGGTTGATTGTGTACAACACTCATTGATGCAATACATTCATCTGCAATAGTACATATAACTTTTTTTCTTTTAGATAGTTCTTTAATATTCTTTCTAAATTCAGGTAGTCCTTGTTGTTCAATTAACACTGTTTCTGCAGAAGTAATACATCCACTACATGCCAAACAATCTTCTAATCTAACAGTGACTTTAGTTAATTTAGGTAATTCATTTCCTTCTTCAGGACCACCTAGTGATATTTTTGCAGCGCCTTTATGTTCTTGTGGTGGTGTTTCTTTTAGAGGCATTACACAAACGAGATTTTGTTGAATATAATCATCAACACCAGCAATTTGTAACCCAACAGAAAGGCTCATTTATATTTTTTAGATTTTAATTTCTTCCTTTTTATTTCAAGTTTGCGTTTTGTAGTATTGAAGTTTTTAGTCATTTCAATTACAAGGTCCATGGACCATTTCGTAAGTAGAAAATATTTATCAAACTAGAAACATTTATTCTTTTCAAATAAAAACTAAATAAAAAAAAATAGTTAAAGAAAGAAGACGTTGATTATTTGTATTTTGATTCAACTGATGGAACTAGTAAATGAATAACACACATCATTGGGGTAACTTCTTTTTTATCTAATAAACTGAACTCAGTAGCAAATAAAATAAAATGCTAAAGAAGGAGTTAATATTAAAATTAATTACAGGGAATAAGAAATTGAAATAACAAACTTTAAAAGATGAATTTAAATGAGGTTCTTCTTCTAATTGAGTAATTTGATTTAAATGATGAAGATAAATATGTGCATATACTCTGAATAATCGTTTAAATATCATTTGAACCACTTTTTGGAATTTCTTTGGAAAAGGAACACCAACAGTACATGGAAATACAGCTTCATCATCAAGTTGTTGTTGAACGTAATCAAGACACTTATTAATATATTCATTTGCAGGTAATGAAAACAATTCTTTTCCTTCTTTCCAACGATATTCAAATTGAGGACCAGCAGTCATTACTGGACAGGATTCTTTTGTACAACTTTCAGCAATTGAGTCATATAATAATTGAGATTCTTTAAAAAAGTCAAGACAATGTACAGCAAGCCATTCATTCAAATCTTCTCCTGGAGGAAGAAGAACTGCTTGTTCTATTTGTCCAATTCCAAGTGTTTTTTGTACATGTTCTTCTAACATAATTTGTTTTTGGGTTTGAGGTTTTTTAATATGTCTAATAGTTTTACCACTTTTGAACATTGTCTGAAATACAAGAATTTAGTTCCTTTTTTTTTCTGTCCTTTTTTTTGTTTTTTTATTCTTCTTAT